TTAAAAAAAAAAAAAAAAAAAAAATCGGGAAAATGATCAAAACAAATATTGAGGTTAATTAGCTCAATGGACAGATCACGCTAACATTGTTTGTAATTTTTATGGTTTCTTCTCTTTTTTTTGTTTTGGTTTCATTTCAAAAAGTTTTGATCATTGTATTGATTGTAAATGAATTATAGAATATATCCTTTTAAAATATCAAAACATGCAATTCGCGTTACGAGAACGCATGACAGTGGTTTAATAATGCTAAATAAATTGATAAGTGACGATGTCGTTTCGCGTGGCAGCAGTACTTTATAATATTTAGAATGCAAAACGGCACGTCAAATTTACAGAGGCCTCAGTTAATTCGATGTTCAACTAATGCACAGATATAATTCGTGCACGTTGTGAACGAAGCCAAGCTTATTAATTGACTGTCCAATCTTTATTATTGATACATAATATCGACAAAATGAACCGTTTTCTTCTTTTTAACAAATCATTGAGAGCCTCTGAGGCAAACTAAAAATTGCGATAGAACAGCGCGTACAAATTAATGAAAAACAGTTGGTCAATTAATAAATTATTTATGTAATATTTCTCTAAATATTTTGATATGATTTACGGAGATTTGGCAGCCCTGTGTATTTTTCAACTAATAAACTATGCATTAGAATGTAGGTTCTATCAAAGAATATACCGAGTGAACAAATTTTTTTTTTTTTATGTTTTTGGATTTCAAAATACAATGTTTGAAATCCTTTTCTATGCGCAAGATCTTATGTACGAGTATGAAAAATAAAATAAGCAAAAAATATAGAGAATCATACAGAATATTAATGCGTAGATAAGAATTCGAATTCAATCCTTAATAACTATTCTAGAAAATCTAATATTTATTATGATTCATAATATGGTATTAAATATTCGATTTGTCCCACTCGGTATAATTCCAAAAGTAATTCCACTAACTGCATGGTTGGAAGATAAGTACGCGATGACCAGCTCTTATTCCATTGTGAAATTGTTTTCTCGATTTAATCTACGAGAACGACTTAATATTTTACGTTAAATTATATGTTACTGAAATACCAGATGTATTAATCAGTTTTCTTCCTTCATAACCGATTTTTTATCATTCCGGACGTGTATCTATTCAAAATCCAAAATCGAGTTTCCTTGCATTCATATTGATGATGTATTATAATTTCGCTATAATAGCGTATCACTATTTCATTTATTCAATTTTTTCTTTCAAAGACTATTAATAGACATTACTGGAAGCTAAATTGTATGACGGATCTTGATGAATAAACACATATTAATATATAATTCATATTATTATTTTAACTCGAATTGTGAACATTTGTTCAATTCGTTTAACATTTAATGAAATTCTTCTTATTTCTTAGTAACAATCTTATTAAGATCTCTTTTTAAAAGTTTTTTTATATCGTTTATCTGCATATATTCACAGAAAATAAATATTTTTTTTATTCAGTTTAAAATATTCAGTTTTGCAGTTTTTTCATTTGAATAACTCTTCATTATGATCCGTCTTGTCAAAGTTATGTCAAGGAAGACGAATGGATTCGTCAAAAAATAAATGGCCGTCAGCAAAAGCACGTCCTGATATTTTGGTACGATTGTATTCATTTCTATTGTTTTATGTCCCCCTCTTTAAGATTTGTTTTTCTGACTTTTTTTTATTGATTAATGTTCTATCTATTTACATTGTATTCACTGCTCTTTATTTGCAAGCTAGTACTTGGTACCAGCTACAAACTAGGCTATCACGAGAGCACGGGACTAACTTCGGTCGCATCTTTGCAGTCTTGAATGGATAACTGAGCTAATTCGCTCACTATTTCTTCCTGAGTAGTAGACTCTGTTTTTTTTAATATTGTATATCCTTGCTGTATCTCTTCGTTTTCACCATTAATCTTAGAATTATTTTTAGCTTGGCCATTAGTTTTTCGTTTACTTGACGTTTCTTCAGCAGACATACCTGGATGAATTTTAAAAACGCTCTTGATAATATTATTAACTGTTTGAGAACGTTTCGGACTATCGTTTTTCTGATCAGAAACAAATCTAATACGAATTGTTCTATTATTTTCCGTATTTTCCTTGTGTTTGTTTCCTTTCATTACAATCGCTTTTGACTTTGAATGCTTTTGATCAGATAAATTTTGGCCATTTGGAATATCCGTATTTTTTACTTCTTGTTGTTTCTCTTCGAAACAAGTGTTGTCGTCAATAAAACTCATTGCATCTCGTTCTGTATTTGCTAACGTTGAGTCTAAAGTATGAGTATCATTTGGTTTTCTAGATAATTCAGGCGTTTCACTATTAGAAGTATCAGTTTTTTTGACTTCTTCATCTAAATCAGTGATTTGCACATTCTTTGTTTCTTCAATAGAATTTTTTTCAATACTTATTTTATTATTAGTAGTGAGTATATGATTATTTATATCTTGTCGATCATTCGATGGCAATTCCCGTTGTAAAACTTTAACAGGACTTTTCGGTTTCGTGCCATTATCAGACATATCTTTGTTCTGGCAATTTGTACAAGAAGATTGTTTTGAATGAGTAGGAGAATTCATTTGTCTTTTACTAGCATTGTTCTTCTGAGCAACACCCATATGTGGTCTACCTACTCTAATTGTAAGAACGTTAATCGACGAATTTGTTTGAACATTATATGGTGTTGCTGGTTCATATTGTGGAACAGGTTGTACGTGATTTAAATGTATTTGTTGCTGTTGTGGTTGCATTCTGCGCATATCAATATGCATTGCATTATCAATTCGCTGTTGATAAGTTATATATGGTTGAAAAGGTGGTGCTAAATTCGTATTCATAGCTGGATTAACGTTAGAGTTTGTAGTTGGCCCATAATTAAGACTGGCATTATGATGAACATTTGAATTTACATATTGAGGTACCATTTGCCTAGGCAATTGTTGAAATTGATACTGTTGGGATGGATATGCAGGGCAGTTTTGTTGAGGAATATTCTGTACTATATTATCTCTACGATCTCTAGAAGCGATTGGTGTAATCCGAGGAACGTTTCCATGATACTGTTGTGGTACTAATTGCCCGGATTGATATAATTGATCGTTTTGTGAAATAACTGGATTTTGAGGTTGATGACCATAGCTTTCATAATGCATACCTTCATTACTCATTACCCTACCATATGCTATACTTGAATGATATTGTGGAGGTTGTGATGTGTAATCTTGTTGTTGATGATCTTGATACTGAGGATACTGAGGAACAGGTGGCTGCGCGTCGATCCAAGTTTCTTGCTGCGGAGGAGGTTGCTCCATATCTCGCCTTGCTTGTACTGCATTCCAAACTTCTTTTAATTCACCAGTAATATCCCGATCTTTCAATATTGTATATTGTCGCATAAAAATTACACCTGCATTCATCCTTTCCACAAAATCTAGTAAAAGTTCTATTAAACTGGTACGCTTCTGGTAGCAAAAATAAAGCTGTATGAGAAATTGTTTATAAATAACAAAATATAATAATTATGAATAAGTACCTTTGGATCTTGAGCGTTTTTACCACTAATTCGAAGAACTTCTGGATTAGCCATTACTGCAAATATTACAGCTTCTGTTTTTGTACGTGGTGGTCGGACTCTCATTCCACCATAAAATGGTACAGGCTGTGAAGGTTTCAATGGCATTGCAATTTTTTCCCATGATAAAACATTTACATAACATGGGACAGCAGTGCCCTAAAGTAATAAAACAATTAAAGTTTCAATAAATAATTTTTATAATCATAATTATATAAATTACTAAATTTAATAATTTAGATGAAATTTTAAAAATATTTGAAACATTTAAAGCTTTTTCTTAATTAAATATACCTGTATGAAGTCTTGTATACACATATGTGGCTGAGGAGGATTTTTAAACAAACGAGCGCCATTGCGCTTCATTCTAGTTGCACCACCTTCTGTCATTTTATAACTGAAAACAAATTTATTTTAAGTGAAAAAAGAAAGTGATAATATATTATATATATTTAAAAAAAATTATATATATAAGAAAGAATTTTTGCTTTAATAAATACAATATACATAAATATCATTTAATATTAGAAATATTGTTTATTTATTTTTATTAAAATTTTTTACGATTATTTAATAATAATGTATACATAAACAATGAGATTCTACCTTTAAAATAAAAAAGAGAATATATTGTTCATTATTAAGTTTAATGAGCAAGAAGAACAAAATTATCAGTTAAAGAATATTAATAATCATGTCACGTAAGTATGATGCGATCGTAAATAGGGGCCGTAGAAGGGGTGGCTAAAAATTCGTAGTAACAAATGTGGCGGAGCAAATGCGTTAAATTGCATACCAATGTACATTTAATATATCTTTATACTTTTAAACCAATAAGAGGAAAATTTTTGAATCGTATATATTATGTACAAATTCAATGAAATTGCTTGAATACAGAAATTGAAGTTTCTACGATAACGCCGATGCATTAGAGCCCTTTTGTTACACGACCATCATAGATTGTCAATATAACCTCAAAATTCTTCAATTTTACACACTAAATGTTCAAATAAATATAAATAGAAGGGTTATTTGTAGGACGCAATACGTTACTTTAACAACGTATAGTCTTCTGTTACGTAAACTCACCCCACGATGCTGTTTCACGTGTATAAACACTTAAACATGCAAGGACACGATACGACACATTATCGGACAGCTTCGGTGGAAAAGGTCCATCGCTCCTTTTGTTTATTATTTTTCCGGAGTTTGCGCGATTGAATTGACCATGGGCGCTCTGTTACCTTATGTGTTTAAGTTATGAACTAAAATGTTCAAGATGGATGAAAACGGAAGTCATGCTTGATGCATTAGTGTGAAATGGTTTGAAAATTCCCTAGATTCAATTTTTATTATATATAATACTATATAATTTTGTTGATATTAATTTATATATTTAACTTAAAAAATTAAGAACATAATATTTATTTTCAACACATTAATATTAAAAAATATTTAATTAATATATTACAGATTGTAAAATTAAAAAAAATAGTAATAAATATAAATCGATATATTCAGATATATAATCGAATATAATCGAACATAATTGAATATAATCGAATATAATCGAATTAATAATCAAACAGTTCGAGTAGCAGAATTCGCGATAGTTGTGACGCACTAAACATATTCTTAAATAATTATATTTTAATAATAAATTTAGTAAAAAAAATATTTATTGTTAAGTATTTGTTAAATTTTTAGTGTGACAAATGTGTTGTTATCATATATTATATATTACGGAACTATTGCTAACAGGTAATCAATAATCATTTATTATTTATTATCATTCCCAACATACATATATATATTTTTTATTATTTTATATATTATATGAATATATATACAAATTTTTTTCTATATATACGATAATCTTTTTATTGCAATTTTATTTCTCATATAATTATCATATATCACAACATACTTTACGATGACATATTTTTTATTATGTTTATAACATGTTTTTATTTTTATCGGTTTTCCACGGATATTGTACGATATTTTCTAATTTATCCTTTGCTTTAAATGATACAAATATTTTTATCATAATGCGTAGAAAAATATTTTTACATTTAATAAGTACGTTTATATTTTCAATCATATTTATCATAATATTTTATATTTATATTTCACGATTTCCTGAAACTAATAATTTTTATTAATTATTATAATTTCAAATGATAGGAAAACGTTTACTACATATTATATAATTGTTTATTATATATTTTTTCTCATAAATAAATCGATCAATTTTTTTAAAAATAAACTAATGATCGATTAAAAAAATATCTACATAATCGATACATCGATGACATTAAATTCCTTTATGAATGAACGAAAAAAACTGTACTATTTTTGATTAATTTCTTGTTAATTGTTAATATAAATTTAAAATTAAAAATTTTATAAAAAATATTTTATAAGATCATTGATAATGAGTTTTTGATAAATCATGTCGTTTGAAGATGTTCATCTCTACTCTATTTTTTCTCTTTATACTTTATACTTTAGTTATCATTATTTCAAATTAGCTCAAGCAATTAATGGAATGATAATTAGGCGATCGTTTGAAATAAGTTATCGTTAGTTTATTTGGACGTATACGATTTCGCAGTGATCGTTAGTGGCGCCACTTGTAGTCGAGTGTACGATGAGTATGTGGCGGGTATCGAAAAAGTATCGATGGGGCTCCGTTGAATCCACCGTATCATTATGACGCCTCGCAGGCAACTATCGATCCCGATCGATGATATTAATAGTCGCTAACTACAGTCTTCCACGCCGCTCGCGTTCTACGCTGTGTTTCACCAGTCGTGCCGGCATTTTTTCTCTTTCTACACCATGCTCGCCGCACATCATGGGACATCATGGGAATCGCGTATTCTTGCTATTCATTCGTGATAATTGGTATGTAAAAAAATATAACAAAAAGTAGGAAAATTTCTAGCGTTTCCCTAATATAGATTGTTTCTTGTTAAAATCTTGAATTACTAGAAAATTTGATCTTTAATGCAAAATTTAAATTAGCAATTCGTTGTAAATTTTTACAGTATTTGTATTGAAAATATTTTTCTCAAAACTTTGCAAACTTTTAAAAAAACTTGTAATTTTACAGATTTTATATTGAATTTTATAAATCGCTATAGTATATATATATATATAGTATATATATATATATATATATAGTATATATATAATTAGATATTTAGATAGTGTGTTTAATATAGGTTAAGTTTATGACGTGACTCTAAATAATTCTTATCGATTCTTTTTAAGTTTTTATTGATTTATTTGCATCTCATTTTCGTTCTTCATCTTCATCAATTATTTGCTTTACCTTGTGGCTACATTGATATGCTAGAAAGGACGACCTTGTTGCGAAATGATTTATTACGGTTGCTTTAGTCGGTAAGAAGAAAGCAACCGGTTTGCTTATTATATACGACATGTTTTTGTACCGAATTTATTGGAAGTTTCTCGAATTTTCTTTTTTAATAATTTTATAATTATTAATTTTAATAAATTTAATTTTGAAATTAATATTAACTCTTTTTAATAATTCTTTTTCGTTTTATTTTTGATATTCCAATAATTATTAGCATAGTAATATTTATCAGGGAGATATAGCAGCTAACTTCACAGGAATAAGAAAAACTGAATTCCGACAGTCGTGTATCGATATCGAATCAGAAAACGATACATCTATCTGTTTCTTTATTATGAAGATATCTATGTACAATCCAAGTGGTAATTAGAAATCTCTTTTATATACATATCTTTTCGTGTATATCTAAATATTTATATATTTACATACATTATTTAAATGTTATATTGATTTTTAATTTCTCTCTAGATACATTACATGTTTTATTTCTCTAAAATAAATTTCTCTAAAAATTTTTCAAAATTAACTTTCAAAAATACTTTTATATTTTTAGAAATTGCAAAAACAAAAAATATAAAATCTATTATGCTATTGATAATTAATATATATTTAAAATGATATCTTATCATATCAATCTCTATATATTAATATAATATACAACTTAATATATAATTTGAACATATATATATATATACATATAGATCTAAAAATTAACCTTATATTATTGGTTTTAGACTTAATTCTAATCTTAATTCTATGATAATTCAAGATTGTCTTCTAATATGAACATCATATTAACGTATAAAAATTTATATCTCAACATATCTACGTGGAGGTTAAAAATATATAAAAATCGTGAAAAGAGAAGCGAGTGTTATCGCACTATTCCGTTTCAACTTTAAAATCGTCCTGTTCGTGCGGTTCTCTTCGTCGAAGGTATTCCAGAAACGTTTCCCCCTCTCTCCTCCCCAACTCTCTGAACGTTGCTGCACGCTGCGCGGAAGATTAAAGTCGCGGCGCGTCGGGAAGCGTGTTAACAGGCGGAAGACGTGCGAACGTAACGCGAAGTCGCGATAGGGCCGCGATTCTACGAGAGGATCGGTGCCGGTAAGGAGCCTGTAATGCGAAATAATGGGTATCCACCCACTCGATGAAAATTACACGAGACGTGGCCCCTCAAAGTATCGGCCGATTCTTCCCCTTCTCGAGGATATATCTTGAAGGGTTCGTGAAAATAAATAAAAATAAGAGGAGAAAAAGAAAAAGAAGAGGAAGAAGAAGGGAAAGAACGAGATGGCGCGCGCTGGAAACCTGAAGGTTCTAAGGGATAATTGTTTAGCAGGCGCGAATGCTGTAATTAAAAAATGATGCAGATTCGAGATATTATATCGATATGCAAGATGACGCGAGGCTGGCACAGGTGGTGCCTTTTCGCATCTGTTCCAAGGAACATCGATTCGAAATATAGAATAGTTGAGGATGAGAGGGTTCAGTTTTTGCATAATTTCGAAGAGAAATTAGGTATTATTTCGAGCAGGTATGATATTTGTCGAAAATAGAAACTTTTTAAAACTGCTTTAATATTTTTTTCATCGACCATTTTTCTTTCACTCTTACTTTTTCTTTTGATTAATTTAATTTCTTTAACAAAAGTATAGAAATATAAACTAATAAATAAATTGGTTGAATTAAAAAAAAAAAAGAGAAAAAATAGAGGGAAGCAGATTAAAAAGAGAAAAGAAAGAAGAGTAAAAGATTCGAAGGGAGGGGAAACCCTGAATCTGACCAGGTGCGCGAAACAGCGCGTACGTGCCCCCATTGGGTTGTGTCTGGCCATTTAACCGGATCTGCTTATGAAAATTAATTGACATATCGATCGACGTCGATACGTGTGCACGTACCGTGCACCAGGCTTCTCGTCCCTGTTGCCATAATCTATAAAACCAAAACGAGACCATACCAAACATAATCTTTCTTTCCTCTTCTCACATTCGAAGCCAATCGAACGAGTTAAAAATAAGCTAAAAAGAAGAAAAAGTATAGGAGATAAATAAAAACTAAAAACAGAAGAAGAAGAAGAAGAAGAAGAAGAAGAACAAAGAAAAATGTTCGAAGCCGGAGATTAATTAAATTTGATGTCTCGTAAAAATGGAGCAAAATGATTGGCAGAATAACGATCATCATGCGTTGGGACACAGTGAGTGGATGTAACGCGACCTTTAATCGCCTTCTCAAATCAACGAAAACGAGCATCGAACGCGTTATGCTTTCGTGACGCGCGAGTCAACACGATAAACCTTTCTCGTTGTAATTAATTCACACCTACGGATCATTCTTAGGTAAAATCTTCACCGGTCGTGCTGGGAAACGAAAAATCGGGAAGGTGGTCCTCGTCGAATGAAATTCAACGTGGCGGGTGAACGATGATAAAAATAATTCCATCGATGTTCTTATATTCCGATCTCGTTTACATTGTTTATCGAGGTTTCACGCGGCTCACGCACGCGGTGTATACGCGGGGACAAATATGTCGGACGATGTGCACCACGGTCACGATTAGGAACGAACGGTTCAGATAATATAATAACGAAAAAAATCCATGTAGATATAAAAATAAATAGTCGGGGAACGGAGAGGCCGACGTGCCACACGCAGAGACCACGCGAGACGTGTTTATAG